AATTACTAGCCGATAATTTCGGTATGTTATAACCGTGTGCAGATGCCATTTTTACTACTTTACCAAAACTTCCCTTTGTAGAAGCGAGGTCGTCTGTCGTTCGTCTGGGATCGTCTGGGGTTGCTTGTGATCTCCTTCGTTCCCTCAGGCGCTGTCGTTCAGCTCTCTGGGAAAATCCTTTTGTGTTGGAGATAGTTCACAGCAGGGGCCGAAGTTCCTCTTGCTTCTCTGTTCTGCAAGCACAAGGCTTTGCAAACTCAAGAAAAAACAAAGAAGACTCTCTCTTGTCCCAGAAAAAGTTTCAAAAAATTCTTTTCTGTTCTTTCTTAAGTTCTAATACACATGGCTCAAAACAACTCTGTCTGCTTAGAAAGTCATGTCTGGGCAACATAACCTGTTAGATAGTTTAGTATTTAATTTCTTATAAAGTTAATTCAGCAGAGTTTAGCAGAGTAAAAATGAGTCTAAGTCCATGGTAGTTTTAAAATATAAAAGTTTACTAACAACCTATCAAGGGTAGGGTAAACAGGAAGAAAAATAACAAAGAGCTTTATTCCTACATCCTCTCATCTAGAAAACTTAACGAAGAGTAATGGAGACTGGAGCGTCTTCTTGCTCAGGGACAAAGAGCCATAAAATGCTAAATAGTAACACTCCATTCCCCAATCAAAACAACAAACTAGATCTGTATCTGGCGGGCTTTCTAACTCTCTAAGCAGATAGGATACAAACAAACATGTGATTCAGAACACAGCATTAAACTCAGTAAATACTGAATTCTAACTTGTGTTCTAACTTGTAACTTCCAACAACCAGCCATGGCAGAAGTTGTGCGTGGGGCAATGTTGCTTGTGGCAGCAAGGTGGCTGCTCTCCCATCTCCTCTGGTGGGAAGGCTCAAGTTTCTCATTCTTGTCTCCTCCCCCCCCCCCCCCCAAACCAGGCACAAAACGCAGAACGAGCCATCACCCTGAAGATGGAGATCCCGGGCCCTATGCCACCCCTCATCCGGGAAATGCTGGAAAATCCCGAGATGTTTGAAGAGGAATTATCGCAGCCTCCTCCGCCGGCAGAACCCCCCAGCTCCGAGGAGAGCCCAGCAGACCCCAAGAGCCAGGAGGAGGCCCCCTAGCATCTCACGAGAGCCTGGATGTAGGCTAGGAAAGGCAGGGGAGAAAGTCCTTTCCCATGTATCTCCTCGGTCCTTCCCGAAGCCCATTTCCTCCAGGACTGTGCGCTTGCCTTCCCTGCTCTCGGCCATGCACTGGAGACTGGGATAACGGCGACACTCGAGACCAACTAGGAGGCACGCCTGCCCCTCTCCTCCGCTACAGTGGGTGACTCCGGGGGTGGATGTCTCTTGCCTTAACCTTTCTCCTACGGGGTCTCGGACACATACTCAGACGCCTTCGCTCCCAGCCCCAAAGCTTTGCCAAAGTCCCGGGTTGCCTGTCCTGTCTAGTCGGGTGCCCTCAAGCCAAATCTTCAGGATGTGGGAACCCCCAAGGGGCTCGGACTCAGAGAGCCTCCGTCTCGAAACAGGAGGATCTCCCAATGTGCAATTTCAGTGCCGGCGGGAAAAGGGGCACCCCGAGAACTGACGGAGACAGTCGATAGCGCGTAGGCCTCTAGATGGCAGTCCTGCCTTCCTCGCCACTCCGCGATCCTGACTGGGGATCATCTGTACCCTGCATCCTCCCGAGTCGGGGACCCAGGCATCCGGGACGCTATTTATTCAGGTCTCTGAAGACAGAGGGATGGCGCGCCTCCCCAGCTGCCCCACGCACACACAGACATCTCGGACCAATGATTTTGGGGTTTGGGGAGAGCAAAGCCAGGACTCCGACGCATCCCTATGCCCTATCAGAACGTTCCTGGGGGGGGAGGGGAGGGGGAGGGCTAATGACCATTTTTGTGGATTCTAAAGGTGGGATGTGTATTATTATTTTTTTGGAGGGGTGAGTACAGGAGGGCGGGAACAGGGCTTTTTGTGGGTTATTTTTTTTGTTCGCTGTATAAAGTGCTAATGTTTTGTTGTTGGGGCAGAGATCAATCCCATAATGGGGAGGGATGGGGGGGGCTGCTGTCCTCCCCAGGACCTCCCCAGTCCCAAGATGGGGGGGGGGAAATAGGGGTGGGTGGGGGAGCCTGTGTCTGTTTTCGCTTGAGATGCTTTTGACGCCCCCCTCCGGTGCTAAGGACTCTGGGAAACGGACCCCCAAAGGACACTAGATACCAAAGATATCAAGGAATGGGTGGAGATTAGGGGCGCAGAGCCACGGACTTGAACCCATTTCCTCTCTCAGGGCCTCCTCTTCCTGCCTTCCCAGTGGGGAGCCGGGTGCCCTGCACACAAAGATTGAACAGGGTAGGCAGGCGGAGTGTTTGTGTGTGTGTGTGGGAGGGTGCCGCTTGTCTTAACCCGCTTTCCACTCTTTCGAGGAGACCTGCACCAGCTCTCCCCCCCTCCCCCCCAGCACCAGTGGATCAAATAAAGGCATAGCAAATGCTTTCTTAACCCCTAGAGGGCAAACGTTTTGCAAGAAGAAGTTTCGACCCAATCTCTGTTCCTAGCGAAACCCAGTCCCGTACACTACAACAGACCCTTTTGGTGATGATTTGCCATGAAGTGGCTGCTATTCCATCTCTCTTCCCTTACTCCCACCCCAAGATCTTGCTCAGATGAGGGGGCAAGACACGGTCAGACCACCGCCCCCCCCCCATGGCAGCTGAGGAGGGCACCATAGCAAGTGGCAGGTGGGGCTCATCCACTTGGGGGAATGAGAACTGAAGGTGCTGCTGCCCCCTGCTGGCCAAGAGTGGGGCAATGTCTTTCAGTGGGTTTATTTATTTGCCTTGTTGAGTTCCCCATCCCACCCTGCTCCAGAGCTGGTGATGAGGTGTAATAGGAATAGGAGCGTCACTGATTGTCCCCAGTTGTCTTAAGCTGCCAATTAAAAAAAAAAGAAATTACCCCAGGCCTTAAAATGGGGTCTGTTTGCTGCGTGGGTGGGGGGTGGGCGGGAGGGAAGAGAAGGTCAAGCCCTTCTGTGATGTTTACAGAACACCGTTCCATGGTATTTTAGAGGAATCCTTCCTGACCCCTGCACTCCCAGCTGTGCCACAGAAGAGAGGGGACTTTTCTATTTTTGCAAAATAAAGTGATGGAAACCGAAACGCTCTTTCATGACTTCGTTTGTTCCGAAATTTCACAATGGGGTTAGTTCAGCAGCAGCAAGAATACTCTGGCCTGTGGTGTAGAGCCCGTGTTTACTGCAGAATCCACTGCTCTGGAGGTAAAGGCCGATGCAGCTACCACTTCTGGATGAAGGCACGGTGTGGGTCCCGTGCCTAGTGGAGCAGGCAGCATCTGGGTCGCGCTTATTCCTGTCTTTTGGAAAAAGGGGATGCTGATAAACACCACTGTTTGATGGTTTTCTGACCTCTGCATTGGGTAACCAGATAAGCTAATGACAATGCTTGGGGGGATCGATCAATCATTAGCTTAGGCCACTTGGAAAAAAGAAAGGGGGCTAGACAAATTCAAGGAGGAGAGTGCTTATTAGGAAATCCACTAACTGGAACCTCCATGGACAGAAGCAGTAGATCTCTCAATATTGGATAGTGGGGACAAGCAGCAAGGGAAGGTTGTTGACCTTCATGCCCTGCCTTCTTGCCTTTCTAGAGACATTTTGCTGGCCACATCTAGAATCCAAATATTTGGACTAGATCACTGGTTCCCAAAGTGGGCAATACCGCCCCCTGGGGGGTGCTGGAATGATCGAGGTGCAGATCCACAAACTGCATCTTTTTTGTCCACTTCTTGAAGGTAGATGTGCCAGGGAGGCACTGAGTAATTTTTTTTCCCCTGAAAAGGGGGCGATAGGCCAAATACGTTTGGGAACCTCTGGACTAAATAGCCTGACAAATTTTGGGTTGCCAACTCCAGGGTGGAAGATTCCTGGAGATTTGGGGGCAGAGCCTGGGCACGGCATAGTTTGGGGAGAGGAGGGAATAGTATGCCATAGGTGCCTAGTATGCCATAGAGGGGACAGTCTGCCATAGATTCCACCCTCCAAAGCAGCCACTTTCTCCCGGGGAACGGATCGTTGTAGTCTGGAGAGCAGTTGTAATTCCAGGAGAATTCCAGGCCCCACCTGGAGGTGGCAACGCTATATAAATAGCTGCCCTGAAAGGGGGAGGCTGTGTTGAGAGCCCCCACGGCCCTGCAGCCAGATGCTAACCTGAATCCACAACTGCTGTGGAGTTGCTGCTGATTCCCTTCTCTCTGAGATTGTGGGGGGGGGGGGGAATCAGCTGTAGACAAATTCAAGGAGGCTAGATCTAACAATGCCTATTAGGAAGACCACTAACTAGAACCTCCATGGACAGAAGCAATATATCCCTCCATTTTCAATTCCAGGGACAAGCAACAAGGGAGGGTTCCCCAACCACCATACAGCCGATTCCCCACCACTACCGGCTGCCTGAGTGATTCTGGGACCTAGGACCGCCTCTGGCCAGATCTAGCAAAGCAGTTCTTAGGGTCAGGTACAAAGATGGCCTGGTCTTACCACTGTGTGTTTAAGCGGTGTGTAGAAGAGGGGTGGCAGCTATTCTGAGCCCCGCTTCCCAACATTCCATCTTCTGTGCTCCTTTGACAGCTACAGGACAAGTTCAGCTCTGAACATCTGGTTACTCTATGTTTTGTTGAGACAGGAGCGCTACATACACTTTACAGTACACAAACACACAGATCGGTAAGAAGCAACGTACCCATGTTCATATTACAACCAGTGGCTGGATAAATGTGGGGGGTTTAAAGTGCATTCATCCCTAAATGCATTGACTGCAACCTAAAAGGGGTTCGATGCCAGTAGTGTGAAAAATCAATCACGTACATTGTACATGGGGTTGTATGCTATAATGTACATTCAGGGCAAGTGTCTGATTTCGCTGCCTCGTCCCTTCTTGATTATGCAAGCTCACAGAACAACAATATTTGGCCCTTCATGGTTCTTCCAACATGTTTTAGAGTTTGTTTGGGCTGGCAGTTTACTGCTGGTTTATCTCTGTCCCTATTGCTGTGTAATTTGGACTCAAGAGACAGTAATTCAGTTCTAAATCAGTCAAGATATATGGCAGGAGTTAGGTGCTGTTTTTCCTAGGTGCTAGAAAGAGACCGTGGATGAGTATACAGCAGATATTTCAGTCCTGGGCCACAGACAGTGACTGGAGGGGGGGCTGTGGCTTAGTGGAAGAGCCTCTGCTTGGCATGCAGAAGGTCCCCAGTTCAATCAATGGCAACTCCAGTGAAATGATCTGGTAGTAGGTGATGATGTGAAAGACCTCTGCCTGAGAATCCAGAGAGCTGCCGCCGCTCAGAGTGGACAATGCTGACCTTGATGGACCCATGGTCTGATTCAGTATAAGGCCACTTTACATGCATTCATGTGTGACTATGGTGTTCTTTTCCGAGGTGGCACCTTCCCTATTCTGTATTTCCAAGCTTCTTTCTGTCTTGGCCAGTGTGGTGACGTAGGGGATGGGGTGTTCCCCTACCTGGGGTGTAGGGACAAATGTAGCTAGGGAAACCCCAAGAAGCTTTTGATCCTTTTATGGATCAAAAACTGGCTAATTAATAGAAAACAGAGAGTGAGTATAAATGGGCAGTTCTCTCAGTGGAGGGGGGTAAGCAGTGGGGTACCGCAGGGATCAGTACTTAGTCCACTGCTTTTTAACTTGTTCATTAATGATTTGGAGTTGGGAGTAAGCAGTGAAGTGGCTAGATTTGCGGATGATACAACGTTGTTCAGGGTGGTGAAAACCAGTGAGGATTGTGAGGCACTCCAAAGGGATCTGTCAAGGATGGGCAAGTGGGCGTCAACATGGCAAATGGGGTTCAATGTGGCCAAGTGCAAGGTGATGCACATTGGAGCCAAAAATCCTAAATATAAATACATGTTGATGGGGACTGAACTGGCAGAGATTGATCAAGAGAGAGATCTTGGAGTTGTAGTAGATAACTCACTGAAAATGTCGAGACAGTGCGTGACTGCAATAAAGAAGGCCACTGCTATGCTGGGGATTATTAGGAAGGGTATTGAAAACAGATCAGCCAATATCATAATGCCCCTATATAAATCAATGGTGCGACCTCATTTTGAATACTGTGTGCAGTTCTGGTCACCACACCTTAAAAAGGATATTATAGCTTTGGAAAAAGTGCAGAAAAGGGCAACTCGAATGATAAAAGGGTTGGAACACTTTCCGTATGAGGAAAGGTTAATGTACTTCGGGCTCTTTAGCTTGGAGAAACGACGACTGAGTGGAGACTGATTGAGGTTTATAAGATAATGCATGGGATAGAGGAGGTTGAGAAAGAGGTACTTTTCTCCCTTTCTCACAATACAAGAACTCGTGAAATTGCTGAGCGGTCGGGTTAGAACGGATAAAAGGAAGTACTTCTTCACCCAAAGAGTGATTAACACTTGGAATTCACTGCCACAGGAAGTGGTGGCAGCTACAAGCATGGACGGCTTCAAAAGGGAATTAGATAAGCATATGGAGCAGAGGTCCATCAGTGGCTATTAGCCACAAGGTATAGATAGGGGCTAAAGGGCAAGTGATGCTCGGTCTTCTTGGTGCTAGGGGGGGTCAAGAGTGGGAGGGCTTCTAATGTTCTGGCCCCACTGGTGGACCTCCTGATGGCACCTGGTATTTCTGGCCACTGTATGATACAGAGTGTTGGACTGGATGAGCCTTTGGCCTGATCCAACATTGGCGTCTCTTATGTTCTTATTACCTTTGTGGATTTAAAGAGCATGATCAGGCAACAAAATCTGCCTTCCGTGGTCCACTCATCGGCAC